ATTTAGGTAAATATATCGTCTATATGATGAAGTATAATCTCGATATACTCAAATATGGATAGATAGTTTTGTTTTTGATCATATCGATTAGAATTAATATGAATAACTGATATTTGGATATCACTTCGAGTAAATATGAATAGGAAATTTTGTAAATTTTCATTGAAGTTAATAACGATAGCTAGTTTTTATTATATAAAAAAGAATAATTTTAATATGAATGAGTTTGAATAATATTGATCCATTTATGAAGTATGAACTATTGTTTTTTTTCTAATATAAATTTCAACTTATTCAATTGTCCATTTGATTAATATAGAATATCCCAAAGGGGAAAAAGCTATTCGGGTATTTCCAACCATTCTCTGTCATTCCCATCCATTCGCCTCCATTCCCAACGAATCCCATCCATTCGCAGCCATTCCCGTCCATTCCCATCTATTCCTATCCATTCCCATCCATTCCGAGCCATTCGGAATGTTCGAATAGAGATTTTCCCCCCTTGGAACAATGTGTATGTTCAACGCAATGTTTTCTTGGTGATCGTTGTGAAATATATTTTAATGCAATTGATCTTCCATTTACTTCGGCAATGTTACAAGATACTTTCATCACACGAATTATCTATATGACATTGGTAGCAGTGTTACTAGTGATTGGATTAGTGAATAATATTGCAGATTTATTGATATTTACACGAGAGAGTATTCGAATAACGGCTTGCGGAGTGTATTTAATTGTTTTTTCGACATCTACGATTATTTTGATGATTTTTTTTCAAACGAATGTTGGGACTATAGCAGAGTATGATACACCATCGTTTCGTTTATGGTCATGTTATGCTAATCCTTATATGTCGTTGACAATGGGATTTACAGGAATATGGATGAGTGTAGGAATTGCGATTGAACGAGTACTGATTGAATGTTTTAATATGAATTTATATGGAACACGTCCACATGCTATATTCGTTTCATTGGGATTTTTTATTTATTCAGCTATTTCAAATGTACTTGCTATATTTGCTCGAGAATATGCTCCAGATCCATCAGAACAATCGATATGTACGTATAATTATACTTCACATCCGGAATGGGAACATGCTGATCTTGTTTTTTCTTATATTCATGTCATTGTTCCATATGTTACTCATTTGATTTGTTCAATATGTATTCTAACAACGATTGCTTGACGAAAAATGTTTATCTATCGAAATAGTCAACTTAATCAACGTCTTTCTCGTGTATGGCTTCGACAGTTATATATTCATCGAGATTTTTTAATTCTGCCGGTGTTTTTAATTACTTGTCTTCTACCAAATGCAATTCATGGACATTTAATTGTTTCATGTATTTCATATTCATCTTTTGAACATCTTCGTCTACATATTGTATTTATATTTTTACTTCATATCCCATCGGTATATGTTTATATTGTTTATATTTATCCGAATGAATCTTATAGGAAAGAATTTCGACAAACATGTTTCTATCGAATTTTATGTTGTTGTTTTTATCAAAGACATCAACAGAAATCATCACAGCGACGTCTACAAACATTAAAAACAACTTCATCACAGTCCGTAGAGGATTCTCATCTTTGATAGTTATTTTTATAAAATATAATAAATCATGTATTTTATCCGAATATAATGTTATTTATCGTCGATAAAATACTAATGTTCGGGGTGAAGTGCGCAAAAAAGAATAATACGAAAACATGATAAAATATGCCTACATCAAACGGCGGAAGAGTCACTCATGCATGACAACTCAGTAGTAGCAAGAATATAAATAAAGGTAGGAAATAGATAGCAGTATAAATAAATCAGGACTGATCGTCATAAAACAGTATTTTCTTTATGTTCGTGTTGTTTACCTTTACACTCCTTTTATTGCAGCAAAAGATTGATTCAGAGATTGATGTTATTGGAACCCTTCGAAAAGATACCATGTGGACGAAAGCTGGAACTCCTTACAATGTAATTGGTGATGTAGGTGTTCCAGAAAATCTCACACTTACTATTCCCTAGACTGAAAGGCTAGGGTCTAGAAACCGTAATTCACCTGTGTCTGTATGTCCGTCTGTTTGTCTGTAACAAGAACTTGGCACAAATGGTCATTTTTATGGCACAAATGACCATTTCTGTGGCATAAATGACCATTTTTATGGCACAAATGACCGTTTCCATGGTACAAATGACCACATTTATGGCACAAATGACCATTTTTATTGCACAAATGACCATTTTTATGGCGCAAACGACCATTATTATGGCACAAATGACCATTTCCATGGCACAAATGACCATTTCTATGGC